GGTGCCCCGGGGCCGTGACGCCGCTGCCGTCCTCTCCCCGCTCCCCCCTCCCCGATCTCTGTGGTGCTGAGCGAGCTCAGCCCCAGGGCACGGCTGGAGACTTCAAGCTCCTCTTCCTTCCCGCTTCGCCCAGGTGTCAATGCCATGCTCAGGAAGGTGGCGGTGGCTGCCGCCTCCAAACCCCACGTGGAGATCCGCCAGGACAGGGACCAGTTCTACATCAAAACTTCCACCACTGTCCGCACGACCGAGATCAACTTCAAAATCGGGGAGGACTTTGAGGAGGAGACGGTGGATGGACGAAAGTGCAGGGTAGGAGGAGAGCTGGGGCGTGTGTACGTGTGTGTGCGTGTATTACCGAGTTCTTTTTAGATGTGATGAACACATCTGCTGCCAGTGTCCCCAGACAGTGGCATTGCTGACCTTCATCCTTTTCCTCTCAGAAGCACTCTGGGGGGGTTCATGGTACCTGCCGTCCCTCTTGTCCGTCGTCTGACATTCTCCCTCTTGCAGGGTAAAACTGAAATCTGAAAGCAACAGAGAGCATGGCAGGACCCAAAGGCAGAGTTCAAGTACCTGCTTGCTGGCTCCTTGGCTGGCAAGGTTTTGTCGAGCTCTTCTCCCTCTGGAGACCTTGGTTGCAGTTAATACTCTCCCCATCTTCCTCATGGGAAGATGGAGAATGGTGGATAAAGAGAGACCTCAAGAGTCATGATTTAGTGCACAAACCTGATAGAAATTTTGTCCTAAACTGAATTAGCTGAGTTCACAAACAGAACCACAGACTGTTGGTAGTTTGGGGCTGGAACCTCTTTCACTCCCTTGCAAGTACATCTCCAGTTTGTCAATCAGATAAGTCTTTAACAGTGTAAGACTTTTGGCTAGTGTTATCCCAGCCATAGTTACACCATGTCCTTGCGCAGAAGTGCATTCGAGGGCATTCACTGGAGTATTTTGGATTTGAGTCTGCGTGTGAACCCGTTCCTCTACCTTTGCAGCCACTTCTATGGCTGTGGAGGGGGCTTCAAGTTGGCAGGGTCTGACACCAGGTTCTCACTGTTGGAGAGACATGGGATACAGGGCGCTGGAGAACCGGGCTGTGATTATAGCTGTCGTCTGAAAAAAGTTATCAAAGGCATGGGTTAGTTATCCTTTCCTCAGGCACTTTACTCTCACACTTACAAGAGCAGTATATGTAAGACACTTATGAAATAAGTATGAATAAAGAATATCAGAATATAATCCCAATGAGACCACAATTTTAAAAGTACCCTGTGATGGTGAAATAATCTACTTGCAGAAATACTATCTCTGCTAATTCTTGGGGCAGCTTCTGAGACCATTTGCACGACTAAATATTTAGAACTTACTACTTCTGGTGCAATTGCTCTGGACTTAAATTTATGGAAATGCAGATTCTGGGAGTCAGTGAACATTTAGAATATCCACTTATCTCAAGGATAAGTTATTGGGTGTTTAATAATTTGTCCAGGAAATGTTGCTGATTTTGTTGTCAAAAGTAGTATTTTAGTGTCTTCATGCATAAATCATGTACAACAAATGTGACCTGCTTTCTAGAGAAGGTTTTATTGCTGCAGATGGAAAAACAACAATTACGGCTGTAAGTATGAAAGTTGGAAAAATCTGAAAGAAATGTGCTTTGTGAAGTTACAAATTTTTTCCATGTGTGGTGAATTTATAGTCCACTCTCAGAATAAGTTGTAGTGCTCTGTGTACATAACCAAGATGTGGCCACAGAGTAGAAACTTACAGATAATAAAATAGAACTTCACAATGTAATTTGGAATATCTGGCAAAATTGCTGACTGGTGATAGATTTTGATACATTTTATGGAGTGGTGGATGTTTTGTGCTGCCAACTAAGTTGATCCATTGTTCATACAGACAAAGAGCGAGTCGTATGTAGTACTGCAAGGCATAGTTTCTATAGAACTGCCATTTGAGATGGCTTGTTGGCTTGAAACCCCTGTTGTTTTGAAAAAAAAATTTTGTGAAGGGAGCAGCTAATTTTAAATCAAAATGGAGGGGGTTTTCCCCTTTGGAAAGTCTGGGAAGTGTTGACTTGAATTTAGACATACATACACACCCACATGTATATGTGTATGTGTATATGTATGTGTGTATGTATATGTACATGGTCACAGACTAATGAATGTCTCCCATGTGCTAGTTATAAAGCAATTACGTGCACATTTGTTACAAGGCATCCTTCTGCACAGCTGTTCCATTGCACTGTGGAATAATAGTTCAGTGCTAGAAGGAAAAGCAACAGAGTCAGGGCTTGCCTGTTCGTGAAAGCTAGACACAATCCTGTGTTGTTGGTTTGGTTTGGTTTGGTTTGGTTTTTATTTTTCAGTGGGTTCATAGTCATTATTGAAATGCTTTGAAAATGCCCAAGGGTGTTAAAATCTCCAGACCCATAACCTTAAAAAGTAGTATCATAATCTCTAGAATTCTAAAAAAGTTTCTTTAATTCAGTTGTGGTTTATTCTAGTTTGTAAGCACAATAAGTATTAAATATACAGTTAGTTAACTTGGCACAGTGTTATATAGCATTAAAGGTTGTAAGTGACAAATACAGCATTAGTTATGACCACAACATGATAAACACAATTCTTTATACTTTTAGACTAAGGGGACTTTGTAGTGATAAATAACACATTTGATCAAACTACATGTGTACAAAGACGCTTGGGAATGTAGACAATACATTATCATGTTTCTAAGTTATACTTTTCAACATCAAGCATTTTCTGAGAACTGAGTGGCTTTTTAATTTGGAAACAAATGCAGATTTACACTGACAAGACACATTTACTATTACTTTGTTATTAACATATAGCTATTCCCAAAATGCCCCCTCACACCTTTATTTTTATTTCACTGATTTCCACTGATGGCTTTTTCCCTTTGCCTTTATCTGTCTCTGTGTTACTTCTTTACTGCAGCAATTTTTCTCACTACTGCTCATTGTTGTCTCTGCCACATGCTGCTGGGGAATATAATTAATGTTATTCCTAATGGTTTTCTTGCCTGCAGAGTTTGGCCACTTGGGAAACTGAAAACAAGATCTATTGTAAACAAACTCTCATTGAGGGAGATGGCCCCAAAACATACTGGACTCGAGAATTAGCTAATGATGAGCTGATTTTGGTAAGAACCTTCAACCCATCCCATACATGCACCATATTAACAATTTTCTCCTACTACGTAGTATGACTTACTCTTTTTCTTTACTTAAATCCATCTGGAGAACTACTATATTCATAATCTTCTACAGTACAGTTCATACATAACTTTTTTTTCCCTTGCTTTTTAATATATTTTTTTAAGAACAGGTGAAGATATATATTTGGGTTCTCACTTGCATTTTAATGCTATAATTTTTGCCATAACTTTACCGGTAGAATAATCACAAGTGGGACACTTCTGCTCTGTAAATTCGCAACACCACCAAAGAATTTGCTTGATTTACTGCACATTTTCTCTGTGGAAAGTGTGATCAAGGTATTTGACCTCATTTCTGGAGAATCTTCTTTTATAGGCATGTGCATAATATGTTGCATCTTATCATGGTATATAGCAGGAAAGATGCAGTCTGTTGTTAGCAGGCTTTAATCTCTTTCTTTATGAAGAACATATAGTTCTTCCCTCAACTACCACCTTCCCAAATTCCTTGATAAGTTCTGAATTGAGTTCATAATTGCCTTCATGAATTCCTCAGAAATACACCAATATGCACATTTGGTGTCAGCCAACATCTCCCCACTCCTGTGCAACCTTCCATATGGCTGCTGGGTTCCTGTAGGCATTGTGAGCAGCATCCCTGCAACTGCCTTGCCATTTATGCCACGAATCATGTGCAGTTTATTTATATTGTACTTTCTTCTGTTAGAGTTAAGTTGTCTTCACTGAATCTTTCCTCAGTAGTCCCTCTACATTAATGAAACAATATCCAGAACTTGATAAAGACACAGTTTCTCTGAGCTACGGATAGCACAGTTCAGCTTGAGTGCTGAATCATTTTATGGCACATGCTTTTACTAGTGAATTACAAATAAATAGTTGATTAGACTGTTACCCCTCATCAATTTGGGCATAGAAAACAGGGTGCCGGAGTGATGGGTAAGAAAACATCAAAGCAGGGAGCTTTTATTTCAAACTATCACATTAACTAAACCTTTGTATTAAAAAAAACCCAAACAAACAAAAAACAGCCTCCCCTGTGTTTCTTTAAAGCAGCTGGAGCCCGGTTTTTAGGATTGCATCTGAAATAGAACAGGACCCAAACCTAACCAAGTATAAACAAAAAGCTTTTAAGGTGATAATATTATTCCAGACGTCTTGGAACTGTTCACTCACCCCTTATGAGGAGGTGTAGCTGTTATTGAAATCACACTGGTCTCTATTGAATGAATACTCCAATTCTGGATAATTTCTTTCAACTCAACCACTGGAATTCTTTATGTTATCAAAAAACTGTAGGAGGCAAAGTACTTTGATCTCTGCTTCTCATCTTTATATATAATGCGGTGGACAAAATATACTCTCAACTACAATTTTTCCAGCTTTCTAACAGTATATTGCTGTAGTTTCTTATTTAAGCAACAAACTAGTGAGGCATCTATTAAACAAAGTGAACTGCTCCAAGCAAAGCAAGAAAGCCAGACACAATACAATTGCCTCTTGCAATCAGCAATGTGAATTCACCCTACTGGGGAAGAGGAATGAGGTTGGTTAAGAAACCCAAGCAATTTAAACATTCTAAAACCATCTAGCCTTTTTTTCTTGTTGAGCTTTTCTGAACTGATTATTTTTCAAGTTAGGATCTAAATGAAAAAAATTCCTCCTTATTACAATATTTCCATTTATAGGAACTCAATCACAACTATTGATAAGTTGTTTTACTTTTTAATTTCCTTGCTATTAAAATATACACATTATTTCTAACCTGTGTATGTCTGGATTCAAGTTCCAGCATTACATATTGTGTCTAAAAGAGACTAAATACTATGCCTAATGTTTGTTATTGCAAATACTTCTTAACAACACTGATCAAGCCACCTATTGGAAGAACCTTATCATTGTTAGGCTAAACCACTGGAAGACCTGGAGCCCTTCAATATAAAGGAAGCTTTCCTCAAATGTCTAATTCCCTTCAGTTCATCAAGTTCCTTTTTGAACTATGAACACCAGAACCACACACTGTTTTGGTAGCGGTCACACCAGCACCTGATGTAGTGGTGACTTCATCTCCCTACTCTTATCTGAAGTTATTCCAATTTATATGCAAAGACTTTTGTTAACTCTGCTTTGGGAACTCATGCTCATCTCATCTGATCATGATCCCAAGTAATTTCCTTTTTCTTCCTGGTTTCTGATTCCCCAGACTGATGCCCTCCCCCTCTCCTGCAAGTTTGGACTATGTTCATTGTTGTAATGTACAATTTTACCGTGGCCATTATGAAAATGTAGTGTTTGCTTCCAGACTGTCTTTTACTGTTTAATATAATACATGGTTTCATGCTCCTACCTCTTTTCTGGAGCATAATGGCCTCATTTGCTTTATTCAATGTTAGGACATTACTTGGTCCTCATGGCAACAGCTTTCAAGCCCTTCCTGATATTTGATGGGGCTGAATGTACAAACCTTTTAAATTACATGGGTCAGCACATTCAAAATCTTCTGACATCCTAAAGCTCAGCAATTTTTCTACAAGTAATGGTGATGACTGTGAGGTCTCTGGTCCTTTGGAAAAGTTAAAATGGCCAAAATGAACTCTTCTATTTAAAAACTAAGCTACCTGAAAGGGATTGGCTGAGGTGTTTTCCTCAGCTGTAACAGGGAACAAAGTAGGAGCAGGACCTCTTAGTGAGAAGACCTTGTGATCCCTTTTGATCTCTTGCCTGTCAACAGTGTTTCATCACTCATGTGAAGAAAGATTCAACTTAGATTATTTTATCTTATGCTTGGCAATTTTCCTTGGATCTGAGTCTGCAAATCCCCACTTGACATCTTACTTCTTCAAAACTACTACCACAGTGAAATTTCTTTCTTTGTCTTCTTTCTTTCTTCTTCCATCTTCCCTGCTTTGTTAGGCTTCTTTAGGACCTGAAATTCAGTCTCATTCAGTTTTGCTGCCCATATCACTTCAAACACTTAAAAAATCCCCATCTTTATAGGCCTCAAGCTTCCCTACTTACCTAAGAAATATTTTCTGTTCCTTTACTTTCTGATGTGCTTTGGTAAGCTTTCCCTATTTCCATTCTGGCAGAGCACCCTAAATAAGCAGAAAGAAACTGAATTCTTGTGAACTTATAGATGTCTTCAGCTGGGAAGCCGTCTTTATGGGACAGAGCCTGTGATGTAATAGTTTAGGAACTCTGTAAGACTGATACTTAGTCTCACAGTCTCTTCTACTTTTTCTCTATCCAAAGAAATCTTTCAACAAGTCTTGAGTCGCCTTCTTAGCTATTACATGCATTTGCAGAAGAAATCAAGAAAACTCATACCCCATTTGGAGAAAGTTGCAAGAAGGAATGTAAACTGTATTAGACTGAGACGTGAATGGAAAAAAGGCTCAGGTCAACAGATGGGGTAAAGAATGAGTTTTCCTCTGCTAATACTGGCTGCATAAATGTTGGAGTTTGCCACATAATTTTGTTCTAATATGCTGTATTGCTTAGTGGGTCCGTTGGATTATGACATTTTCCTAGTAAAAGGATATATTTTTCTTCCCAACACAACATGTTAAATAAAAAGCATTTATTATCACATATAATTAAAAAAAAAAATCAGTGTTGAATTGTCATGACTATCGCAGAGCTAAAATAGAAACCACATTATTGTACGATTATCAATCTTTCTTGCACCCTGACAGAAGAATACCTTATGTTCTTCAAACGTATTCCCTTGGATCAATACGATGGTCTTCTGTGTCGCATCATGTCCTCTGGTACACAGATTCTGGGAACAAACCATTTAGTTAGCAAAGGTTTTCTTTACCTTCACGTACAAATTAAGGTTGCCTTTAGTTCTCCTTAGCTCCTTGCAGCATGGAGAAGGAGACTACTCTTGTTAGTAGCATAAATAATACTTGACTCTTAAAATGGCAGATGCGGGTCTAAAGTCCTGTTAGAAAGAGTCCTTTCAACTGAGTAAGGGAAGAATTATCAAGCTCTGCTGTATTAAAAAGATCCCGTGAATGTGCTAGAACATTGCAACTACTTTCATTGGCACTGGTTATTCTAATCTTGTCTGATGCACTTGCTGGGATTTCAGTGCTGCATTTGTAGAAGTACTGAACAATGTAGGAAAAGAAATTATATAGAATATGCAAGCAAGGGTGGGTGAAGAGGGGGTAGATCCCCTTCAAAGTCCACATTTGTTTGTCTTGACTCTATCTTTAGATTATATGGTATTGTACTTTAATTACTATGATAATGCTATTTATGTTTACAACTCCACATTCATAAACTATACTTTGATTAGCACTTGAGCAATGAAGATCAGGATATAACACAAAAATATGTATTTTCTTTACTTCTCTGAAAATTAAGATCTGGAATTAAGTCTGTTCTCCTGTGCTTTTTCTTCCCTTCCCTTTTGTGCTCTATAATGTTTTTGCTGTTGCTGCGTGTTTTTGTCAGGGACATTAATGAGCTATCAGTCACTTGTGTAAGTCAGGAGAACAAAAGGTCTGCTCTTTACAAAGTTAAAGGATGCTGCTTCCAAATGTTAGCTATTCAAATGAGAAACATTTACATTCAAACTTTGTCTGCATTGCTGCTTTCATGGCTGCTCAAGCCTCTCTAGATTTTAGTTTAATCTGTAACAGACAAACATTTTAAAGTAGATGATTACTGAAGAGGGGCTTTAAAAACAGCCTCAGACCACATTTTACACAGTTCACGTATCACCCAGGGGTTCTCAGAATCATTTATAGCAAGGGTCAAAGATCAGAACATTAGGGGAGTTTCAAACATGGTTTCTGTTCTACATCCTCTCCCCAGAAAAATCATGCCATAGTTTATTAAAACTGGTGAACTGTGGAGCCTAGATGAGTGAGTGAACATTTTTAGAATTACATTGCTGACTTCTAAAATTAAACATAGTAGGTGAGAAGGGTCAGTGCAGATTTGGAAAGATATGTTGCAGCTGAATGCTGAGCTTTGTGACACACCTATGCCTTGTATCGAGCGATGTTAAGCTACCTAAGTGCATAAATTTTCTATAGGTTTTGGAGAGTGACCTCAAATAAAATCAGTTTTCTAAAGGTGGGTCTGCTCATCCTGAGGTCAGTGGTGGGTTTTGCTGCTGATCTTCTTAAAGTAGCTTTGATAAAATTTCAGAAGCCTGCAATAATGCATGTGGATGTGTTGCATGGACCTAATGCTTTAATTTACTATTTGCCACAAGCAGATTTACAAGGGGACTTAGGGATCTGCAGCCCCTGCTCACAAGTGCAGCCTGGTCTGGGTCACACCCCAAACATATAAGCAGAGAAAGAAGCCAAAGCCATTTGCATCTTGGATACACCAGGTCCTGTGTGTAGCCTTTTAGAGCATCAGTTGTAGCTTATGTTTTTGCTGTGCACTTGCTTTCAAGATTGCTATTGGGAGATACCGTTGCCTCATGTTCTTATGTCTCTCATTCATTTACTGCATGGCTCTGAGGAAACTGTATAATATAGCAATTCTCAAACACAAATACCAACGTTTAGGTACCTTGATAAATAATCTAATTTTGCATGGTCCTGTTAATAGATACCCTGCAGAAGGTGAGGTAGCTTGTATATTGGCTGATTTGCTTGGATTAATAACCACGTTTGAAAGTGAGGGCTGCACTTTCTGTGATTATGGCCTCATAATGCTCAACCTCTTTCATAAAACATTGTGGGAGTCAGAAGAGGAAAGAAAATACGCAGTATGCCTTTACTGGGAAGATTTATATCTTTATTCTGGGTAACAGGGAAGTTTGCATGAGAACAAAGCCTTTTCTGAGGATTCATTTAAGCAGTATCTTCTGTTCTCCATTTGTTTGATGTATTCTGGCTTCCCTTCGCAAGTTGCCTCTGCTGGTTGGTCAGTCACAAGCAGATAACAGGGGATTTTTGCATACACTGGCAGAAGTAATCTTTCCCAGGTGATTATTTCAGTGACAGTTTTCCTAATTATACCGTGTGCTCCACTTATCACAAATGCTCCTCAGCAAATGTTTATAAAGAAGGCCTTCAAAAAGCAGATTTACTCATACAGTAATATTTTACTGCCTTGTAATTCTCTTTTAATCTCTAATGATGTCAGTGGTCATCAGATTTTGAGTGAACTGAGAGAGGTCAATTTATTGGATTATCCGCCTGTGCAGGGCTTTGTTTGCAGTGTGCTTTTGGATTCTTAGCCACAGATTATGACAAGCTAAGTGAAGAAAACAATTCTGTAATTTGCAGTCATTGCACATTTAAAATCCTATTTTAGATTTAGATAGAAGCCTTGCCTTGTAGCATTTTGTAAGGTAAGTGGAGCCTTTGCAAGCTGATGAGAAGGTGGTGCTTAAATCCTGCATCTTCTCATTAGATTTGAATTGCAGTTTGGTAGCATTGCACTATTTTTTTTATCTGCTGTGGTGAAATTTCACCACCAAATAGCCAAGATTGCTTGCTCTCTTTATTAGGAAGTTCTGGTCTTCTGGGTAGTGCAAAACTTCAAAGTCTGTGTGTTCTGGCAGGAGCCATCTCTACTTTCCCATCTAGATTTAGAACTGTAGACAGTAAACTGCTTTGTCCTACCCCTGAAAACAAGGATTTAAGTGTGAAAGATAGAGGAGTAACAGCACAAAAAGAGAAATGTAGCAAGTATGAATATGTTCCTTTTTTGCTTTGTTTAGCAACATCTAGTGAAGTTTTAACAACGCTAGTAAGTTACGGTAAGATAGGGAACACCTGCTACATAAATCAGCATTTAAACCATGTACATAATCATGATAATCAAAGCCACTTATTTATGTGTTTCAATATGGAATTAGCTTGCTAATAATCTGAATTGGTATAAGCTGTAAAATCTAAGTGCTAAAAATGGCAGCTTATTCCTGAAACAGGTCAGAGGTCACATAACCTAAGCTGAGTCTTCAAGGAAAGGACACCTGGCTGTTTGAGAAGTGCCCAGTGGCTACATGGTACTCCAGAGTAATTATACTTGGGCTTTGCATTGATTTTATCTCTTTATAATCTAGATTTAAAGATGTGATTTTCTTAAATTATAGTGGTTCTCCAGACTGTGAGACTGTGTGACTTGTGTATAGCAACTGATTAAGACTATTGTATATTGGGGTTCTCCAGGTATGTCCATATTTTCTGCACTTAATTTTTATCCTCATGGAGCAATTTGAATACAGTCCTTTGCCTGAGATTTTCGAGAGTCCTGAAGTTTAGCTAGAGCTGGGTGTTGGAAGTACAAAATAAAGAGCCATTGCACTCTGTCACAAACATGTGAAGCTGTGAGTCTGTGAGTGCACAACAGTCAGTCTGTGTGTACATACAGTGGACTTGCTGCCTCTGCAATGCATTCTGAATGCACTCATACTATTGAGCTTTCCCAGAAAGTTACTATTCCTTTTTTCTTCCTCCACAAATTATTATCTTTACTTTCACAGTCCCTCCTGTGAGTCTTACAAGGAAGCTGCCAGTCAGACTACAGTGATGTCTTAGGAGGAAGCTCTGCCCAGGAGCACAGACTCAGGATCCTGGATGCTAGGATTTCAGACACTCACACCTACAGTGGCACTCTAGGACAGACAAGCAGTAGGGATCACATCTGTTTCAATCTACTCTTCACCACAGCGTTGCCTTTCAATACAACTACCAACCTGTTGTGAGAATAACTGCTGTTGCACAGGTTTAGGGGAAGGAGTTTGTCTCTTAATTTCCCTGAAAGAATAGACATAAATTTACTAGGGAGGTTACAAGAGTTTGAGCAAACTGATGCTGCATCCTTTCTCATTAGAACTGGCTGATGTGGCACTCACCCACATCACAAGATGTGGCTGCATAGCTGTGCAGCTCCAACTGTCAGACTGGGGCCATGCCAGCTCTTGAAGAATACTACACAAAGATTGTTCTACCATTACTTAGGATTTGTGTTGAAATAGCAGCAAAGGACCCAAACTTCACTGTGCTTAGCAGTGCCTGAATGTACCACAGAAAGACAATCATGGTCATAGTGACCTTCCAAGTCTCCACAGACAACCTCGAGCCCTCAGTGGTCTTGACTCTGACTTGCTTACTCTGGCAAAGCTCCTGCCAAACTAATTTCACCTTTGTGTATCATTTTGGAAACGCTGAAGGAAGTAATAGTAAAGGTATTTGCAGATGGTGTTGTGGGCAGTAGAGAACTATCTACATCCTTTAATGTTCATTTTCAGACTTTTTCATGTATAAGCTAAAAATGTATATAAAGGTTGATATGATAAGCTCTTTATATGCATAAAACCAATGCCTGTATCTCCAAAATACTAACAGACTTTTCTCCTCAATAAAGTGACCAAAATATAAGCTAGAGACAGTTTTAAAGCCACATCCTTTCAAAGAGGTGTTGGCCACAACAGGTGTAGAAATCATTAAAACAAAGTCCAGCTTAATTTTCATAACACCCTGGGGTAGGTCTTAATTATATTCTTCAGCAAGACCCTGGCAGTTCTTACAGCCAAACATCCCACCTCACAGCTTCTTAGGGTGAGCTTGAAACGGTCTGTTGGAACTGAACGTGTGGATTGTTTTGCACTCAGTATTTCCTCACTCTTGTGTCCATTATTTCCTTCATGTTTAATCACTTGCATTTAGACTGACAGATCTGAAATTACGTACAAATACTTTGGGGTTTAGGTGGCTTTCTCAGCTGCCACGATCACTGTCCTGTCTAAATGTCCTGATATATATGTACTGCAATATTGCTGTGGTAGAACAGGCTTTTAAGTGCAGAACTACAGAGCGATTTAAAAACTGCCAGCTTTCAGATGCCTATCTGCAACTCTGTTTCTATCAAAGGCATAACATCACATAACAACAACTCTACGTATCTGGAAAATCAAGGTTACTCTGAGGTACTGAGGTACTGGTATAAGAAATGGGATGATAATAGGATACAGTCTGTATGTTGTGGCTTTCAGATGTGTGGTGCTCAAATGCTTGTGAGATCTCACAGATGTTTAGTCATGTGGAATGATTTTGATCTCCACTACATTTTTCTCCATTATGTGCTCTCATTTCAGACCCTTATCTTAGTTAATAAAATCACTGGTTAAGGTCACGGTATCCTGAAAGAAGGTTGTGATTGACTCTGCCCACATCACAGCCTGGAAGGGAGGGGTTTGGTATCCTAGTGTGGTGTGCCAACATCTTGCAGCAGCATTATGTTTACAGGTTACAGGTATACATTCTCCTGGTCTTCAGCCTTGCTCCACTGACTTGACTTGAACCACTCTTGATTTATACATGCATAATACCAAAGAATGCCTTTTGAACATGCCATCTGAATTCCACCCTTAGCATTTGCAGTTCAAAGTGCTGCAATTGTTTCTAAATATAACAACAGTACATTCCAAATTCTCTTTCTTTTCTCCTGTTTATTTAAAAATGCATGCCAAGAAACTGTAAAAAAAGGGAATTCTTGCATCATTTATCATTCTGAGAAAATTCATCGTGCCTTGGAAAAAAGGTCATTTACATTACATTCATCTTCCAAAATTACTCCTTTCTTTACTGTCATCTGTCAAAAGACAGGGGAAAATGTATTTCTGCTGTAGAACTAGGTACTGGAGTAAAAATAACACAAAAGAAAAAATGGTGTTAAATGTTTGCTGGTTCCATCTCTTCTGATTGATTTCTATTTCTCTTCCAGACTTTTGGTGCTGATGATGTTGTGTGCACGAGAATTTATGTAAGAGAGTAAAAACACCAATTTACTTGTCACCTGGGATGGAGTGGAGAACTGTGAAAATCCCCAGTATAACGAGTATCTGTGTGTACTGTTACTAATGCGGTGTTGTACGTGGCCGTCTGTGTTACACCTGAACCCATATCCTCTGATAAGTGTATTTTGCTTTCATTTTTCATTGCAGACACTATCCCTTCCCGCTTTTATGCCATCATTTTCCTTGTCTGCTTTGTATTTTGTAGTTGTCACTTGCTATGGTTTCATCAATTATTAAACTTACTGGGCATAACTCACAAGTGTTTTGGGGTGTTTTGAACAGAAAAGCCAGCAGTGCTTTGGTTAGGACTGAAAGACTTTGGACCCTTTGTTGAAGTCAGTGTGGAGTTCCACTGCTGCTGGCTAGCACTGTGCTGTCAGAGAACACCTCCCAGGGCAACACAAAGTGCAGCAGAGCAAAGGGAATTCTGGGGCATTTCGCAGAGCTGCAGGCTGCTCTCTCAAACTCAGCTCTGCTTCTTTCCTTCTTTCTGCCCTGTCTCCTTGGGAGAGTTGCTGAGGAACAATTCCTCTATCTTGTGATTGCTGGGACTGTGATTTGGCAAAACCAGACAAGACAAGGAGAGATCTCTACCCTGCTTCCTGCTGTGCCTCTGAAGAATGCCCAAACTTTCCCTGTTGAGGCGCTCATTATCCAAGTACAAAAGCCAGCTGTATCTACAGGACAAATAACATTGTGATCATGACTAATACTTCTTGTCATCACACCCAAGCACCTCGGGCCTGATCAGGGAGCCAGCAGAATCTGACAGACTTTACTTATTTGGGTCATAAAAAGAAAGCTCAGGAAAGCTGCTTTTCTCCTCCCTTCTTACTTGCAACAGAGAGAACTTTGAATGGCTTCACTCCCACTCAGTATTGCAGCTCTCCCTTTCGGTGACTCAATATTTCATTCTTTGAACAACCAAATATTTCACAAACCAGAGCTATAGTTCAAGAATGAAAGAAGCACCAAATTTAATGTATTTATTCTGGCTCAGAATTCTTCCACAGCACTACCAAGTATTAGATTCAAGCTGAACAGAGATTCCTCTAACGAACCAGAAACTCTTCTGTTCTTCAGCCTTGGAACTATCTGGAAATTGAGACTAGGAGCACTGCTTATTTCAGTGCAATTACCAAGCTTATCTGATCAACTTTCAGCTTTGCAAGAATAACTTATATGCCTCATGGCACCCAATCATAGAGAATTTTTAAGGAGTTCAGTGTTAGCAGAGTATATGCCCTGTTCACTGGACTGCGCTCAATATTCAGAATGGGAAAATAGGTCCAAATCCTGGTTGTCTTGGGACATCCAAGGGAAACAAATTATTTTGTCTCTTCATCACATCATAGCTGTGCAGAGGAATCCCCTTTGGTAGGATTGTCAAACTGCTGTGGAGAAATCAGCCCCCCGTTCTATATATGGCAGCGTGAGACACAGCAGCACAACAGGAGAGACACATGCAATGTTTTCTGTCTCCTCTGCTCTGACAGGTCAGCCTTGCTTGGTTTGTCTGCTATCAGCACTCAAGATACAATATTGCAGTTCAAAAGGGGGATCTTTCCCTTCCACGCTCTAACCTGAAGCCAAACCCTGTTTCCAAGACCTTGGTTCAGCTGGTACTAATGAAATACACTACATGTTAGCTCACATTGAAACATGGGCTGAAATCAGTTCATTGTGGTTTGGATGCAGCTGGAGCTACCCCCCCGGACGAATGAAACCATGAGGGGGAATGACAGTGAGCTGTATTTTCTATGTTTTAAGATTAAAATTAAAATAGTTGGGTGGGTTTTTTTCTAAATAAATTCCATTTCAGGAGTATCTGGACCTGCTTGTACCATCAGCTATGCCAAAGGGACTCCATAAAAAATGCCAGGCTGAGCTAGCTCAAAGTTTCTCATTGATGCAGACAAAACTGTGTCATGCCACATCAAGGCTGAGAAGTAAATAGCACCGTATTGCAGGAGATGCTGGCACGTGCCATCTCCTACAGGAGCCCACCAACACTGTGTAGAGTGCTTTTGCCTCCACCTCCCAGAAGGTGGGTGGTGAATATGGGGGCTGATACAAGCTGATGAAGCAAGTAGTGGAGCCAAAGCCAGTAGGTAGCAGGGCTGTTTTGCCATTCCAGAAAAATGCTACTCATAGCAATTACCTCTTCTACCTGTGTCTGAAGCAGCCCTGATGCACAG